GATCACAATAGAGGGTCCCGAACAGAGCTGGAGAGAAACGTAGAACAAAATTCTAACTCAAAAAAAGACCAGACTTACTGGCCAGACAGAGATTGGAAAAACCCCGAGACTATGGCCCCCAGACACCCTTTTAGCTCAGTAATGAAGTCACTCCTGAGGTTCAGCCTTCAGCCAAAGATTAGACAGGCCCATAACACAAAACGAGACTAAAGGGGCACACCAGCCCAGGGGCAAGGACTAGAAGGCAGGAAAGCTGGTAATCAGGAACCCAAGGTCGAGAAGGGAGAGTATTGACATGTCATGGGGTTGTTAACCAATGTCATAAAACAACATGTGTACTGTTTAATGAGAAGCTAGTTTGTTCTGTAAACCTTCATCTAAAGTACAATAAAATAAATAAATAAATAAAAGACTTTTTTTAGAAAAATGTGTCTTCCTAGGCCCTACATTCAGAGATTCTGTTTTAGGGGGTCTGGAATGGGGCCCAGGAGTCTGAATTTCTGGCAAGCATCCCCTCCCAGGTGCTTCTGAAGCCGGTGGATGATAACTCATACTTTCAGAAACACACAGGCCTAGGAGACAGTCACCATGCCTGGCACAAGGTGGGAGATCTGTGACCATGAGGCTTTCTCTTTATTGAAGCTGCCCAGAAGAGGTAATGTAGTGGCACTGAACTTCTTCAAGAATTGCCCATATAAACAAGGTATTTTCTTATCTGGAAGCAGATAGAAAAGAGAAAGGGATGAAAGCAGGAAGGAAGGAGAGAAAGATCTAAACACATTCCATTCCATAGAAATAATCCTTCCCTTAACCACTAGTCATAATCCCAACTAGCCTGCTATCTTGAACATTCTTTTTTGGATGTGTTATCACCTGGCACTGGACATTTGGTTCATGCAAAGGGGACTAAATCTCCACACTGCTTCTGGAAGATGGGAGAAGGACCAGAGTTGGGCTCTTTATTCTACAGACAGAGGCACACAGAAGTGAAGTGCCTGACACAGAATAAGTCAGAGGCAAATCAGGGATGGAGCTCAAGATCTTCAGGCCTCCAGGCCCATGCGTGGGCCCCGAGGAAAGCAGCTTCCCCATCCCCAGAGTGCAAGAACGGAGAGGGCTTTCCACAGGCCTGGCAGAGCTGGTGGGCATGGCAGGCTCTACAGAAGCGAGGAGTCATGAGGACACCTAGTACTCTTCTTGCCAGGAAAATGCATATGTTTAATTTGGATGTTGAGGGCAAAGCAGGTGAGTGAAAAAGGTAAAATACGAATTGAAACTGTTTGAGTATAAAGACATTTGTTATAAACAAATCTGAGTATAAAGAAAAATTGTTTCCTTTGCGAAAATGCTACATATAAGCACAGTTCTACTCTGACACACATGGGGTCGCCATGAGTGGGTATCAACTCAATGGCAACTGGTTCTGGCTTTATTCTGCAACTGGGAGATTTCTATGGAAATGAGATTTCTATGGAAAGCCTGTGTTGTACTTTTCAGTAACCTTAAAAAACAAACAAAAGACAAATCATCTGTGCTAGAGATAAAAATTAATTACATTCCATAAAGCCAACTCCATGACTACTGAAAAGACAGAATTTCCTTGAGACAGGGTGTAAGGTTTGACATTAGTCAGAGCTATTGAAAAAATTCTGGAAAGTGGAACTGGGGGTACTCAATCCTGAGGCTTCCTTCCTCTACTGTCTTCTGGGTAGGGGCACCTCCCCTTGGAAAGGGACTATGACATCACCCGTTGATTACCAAGAGCTTGGGGTTAATTCACCAGACTATTTCTTTGGCGTAACCAGGGTTATGCAGGGTAATGAGCTTATAGAAGATAATTCAGAGCTGTTTTATATGTTCCAAACAAGTCCACACCAGGGTTTATGAATTAGGCACTAGCACACACTTTAACTCTACATGTTGGTGCTGGCCACCGCTGCTGCCGAATAATATGCCCCTGGGTATACTTCCACCTTGAAGGGTATTTCATGTCTCTGCCACCCTCCTTCTCAAATGCAGTGTGTCGCCTTTCATAAATAGCCTGTCTGCTAATGTTCTGAGGGTCACCACACCCACTTCTTCATACTTCTCCACCCTGGCCTGAAGGCATGTGGCTCATCCTCATCTCTGTGTGGTGACTCTAACCATGCACGGCTGAGTTAGTGGAACACCAGTTTTCCACTTGGATTTCACCCTGGCATTATCTTGGGAAAGTAGTGAAGGAAGCGATGCCTTCTATTACTACCATTACTATAGTTACTTTTCAGAAAACCTTTCATAAGTGATGATTCCTCACCATCATTTTTATTCAAGTGAGCTCCATTAATAATTATGCTGATACAACCAGTGTGGGGCTGGGACTATCCTGGGCAAACTGGGATTTATGGTCACCCTATTTATGAAGGAGATGAGTAGAATGAAGAAGAAACATGAAGCAGATCCCCAGCTGACATAAACCATGAACAAAAACTAACTTTTATTTTAAGACAATGAGATTTTGGGGTTGTTCGTTATAACACCATAACGTAGCAAAGGTTGAATAATACAACCTTTTACAGCAGTGTAACTTTGTTATTATCTCTGTAAAATGGGGGTAACATAATTGTAAAATGGCGGAGTAGTAGTAGTGCCAGAAGCTGCCTAACTTCGGGAGGGATAATGCAAATCTTGATCAGCCCAAGGCTGAACCCCATGAGGTAGAGGTCAGACATATCTCCACCCTCCAACCTTTTTACCAACTCTGACACCAGCCGTCCATCCCACAGCACTCTCTACTTCTCTGCTGGGTTCAACAATCCATTGCAAAGGCCACACAGAACTCACAGACCATACTTACAGTTGAGTGGTTTATTAAGAAAGTAACAGGGTACACCTCGGGATCAGGATCAACAGGCTACAACTCAGGATCAGGATCAGGATCAGGATCAGGATGAGCAAGCACGTAGGCAAAGTCTCTCTTCTTCATTGCAGGACAGCTCTCTCAGCTCTCTCAACCGTGCAGGCCTCCTGCTTTTTTCTGTCTGAAAAAACCTTTGTGGGGCTGGCTGCTTAAATACACAAACTCCTTGTTAATTTCAAGGCATGGCACTCTCACCAATCCCCTCTCGGTAGACCACAGACACTTCATTTGCATAGTCTGTTGACTAATCTCTGCAAGGTGCATACCAATCACAGGGCAGGCTGAAGCCCAGGACCAGACAAAAAGTATCAAACCAAGTTGTTTACAGCTTACCCAGGAAATGTCAATCAACTTGGGCAAAAGTAACAAAACCTCTGGGGTAGAAAACTAGGGCAAAGGTAACCCCTCAGGGGTTACAGGGGAAAGCTCTCAAGCTGTTTTTCTGAAGAACCAAGGCAAAAGGCCAAAAAAACAGAAACTCATCTCACCACAATAACAGTACCCATATCATTGGGTGGTAGTGAGGATTAAAAGAGTTAACATATGTGAAGCACATAGAACAGTGCCTGGCATACAGTGAACAGTCAATTAATGTTAGATATTAATATAATAATAATATAGAAGAATAAAAGAAACACCATCGAAACACAATGAAGTAGCCTTTCAAGCAAAGCATATTATTACTCAGGGATGGCAGGGAATGCAGTAATTTCTTGCTCCCACCACACAAGCTGCTTGACCTCTTAGAGATCCTGTTGACTCCCCTGACCCCTTTCTTTCAATCTATTAGCCCTCTCCTACCCATATCTTTCCCAGTGTTTCAACCCCACTCATCATCATTATAACTATTTTCTTGCTGATTCCTCAATGCCCTTGGCCTTTTGTTTCTTCCATCTTACCCACAAGACAAAACCTTAGCCCTAAGTCCATCCAACAATCCATCATTTCTTCTAACAATCTATCATTTTTGTTCCTGAACCTGGGCCTCTCCAGGGTTTCTAGAAAACCCTTGCACGTGCTCTTTCTTCCATTCCCAAGAAATATTTCAAAATTTTACCATTCTCTTCAAGCTCTATAACCTAGTTCCATCCTCCTCACTGAAAAAGAGAATAGAGGCCATTAGGTAGGGACTACCTACATTGGTTCGTTGTTCCTACCTAACGGAAACTTTTGGCCTTCTCTTTTGGCTCTGGAACGTATCTCCTCCCACCTCTGGAAGGTTCTCTGCTGGCTCTCAGTCCTTAGCATATAAACGTCCTTGCATGTCTCCCATATTCCAAAAATCACTCCCTCAACCTTTGTCTCTCTCCAGCTCTGTCTCTCTCCTTCTCTTCACTGCCAAGCAACCTGTCCTCCATGCTCCACTTTCTCACATACATTCATTTCTCAACTCACTGAATTCTGTACCCTGTCATTCTCCAAATCTGCTCTGGCAGAGGTCATTAATTTTGTTATTAAAATTAATGGACATTTTTTCCAATCTTTAATTTGCCTCACCTCTCTACAACATCTGATTGTCTCCTACCTTGGCTTCAAGATGCATCTCTCTTATGCTCTCCCTCCTCTCAGGCTGCTCTTTCTTAGTCTCTTTTGTAGGCTTCTCTTCCTCTGCCCTCCCTTAAATCCTGATGTTTCCCCATGGGTCTGTACTTGACTCTCTTTTCTTTCCAAGGCAGTAAATACTACTTCAATGTTGAGAACTCCAAAATCCACATCTCTAGCCAAATCTCCCTCCTATTTATCTAATTGATTATTGGATGTCTCCCCCTGGGTGTCCAACCAGCTCCTCAATCCCAAGATGTTCACAGCCAAACTCATCATTTTACCTACCATTCCCTGCACTTGCTCCTTGGATTTCTTACTTGAATGAATAGCACTATCATTCACCCATTGTCCAAGCGAGACATCTGGGACTCATGCTTGACTTTTCCCAATCCTCCCATCAACCTAACAGCCTATCAGCTTGTCTCCTCATCTCTACTCTTGATTCTTCAAATTTATTTTCAAATTTATTTACAATGATCTTGCTTTCTGAGAATATCCACCCCTACTTAACATCTATGGTATTCAGAATAAAGTCCAAATTCCTAGCCCAATATCCTTAATGATACAGCTTCTTTCTACCATTCCAATTTCATTTCTCGTCACGTCCTCCAAATCTCCTATACACCAATCATACTGAACTTTCAAATCCCAGATTGTTCCACATTTCATGCCACCTCTGGGTTTTCTGTACTTGCTGCTCTCCTGTTGGAATACCCTGTGCCCTGTCGCCCATTTAGTAAATTACTTGCTCTTAAGTCAGATGTTACCTATCCTGGGAAGCCTTCTCTACTCAGCATCCCATCTCTCCCATCAACCTCCCTCCCTACCAGGCTAAGTTAGCTGCCCCTCTATGTACTTCCATAGTACCCTGAATATTCTCCTATTTGAAATGGGATTGCTGGCTGACTTGCAGGTCTTCCTCACTAAACTTGAGCTTGATTAGTTAGGGATTTATTCATCTTGCATCTCTAGTTCCTAGCACATTACCTAATGATACTCAGTAAGTGTTTCATGAATGAATGAACAGTGACAGTCTCTTGGGTAGCAGTCTCCTCTGTTGGGGAGCAAGACTGCATGCCTAAGAGGAATAACTACATTTGTATGTATATGTACACATATACTGGGGAAGCCATCTTTAAATAGAGATCACAGTGTGTGTGTTGTGTTTTATGAAATAATAAATAGGTAATTGAACACTTTCCTTTACCTTACATTCCTCTTTGCTTGTAAGTCCCTGTGCATTCTTCCATTGTCACTTCTTGTGCTCAGGTAACTTTATTCTTCTCTTTGAACAGCTGTACCTCCTGCACTCCATAAAATTTTTCAATATTCTTAGTCAATATTCAGGACAATATTCCCAAGAGAGATATTCTGAATAGGCGAGAGTTCTAAAGACCAGGAGAGAATTATCTCTACTTTACGTGTTCAATTTCCACTCAGTCTTCTTTTCTCTAGATTCAGTTATCTCAACTTCTTTAGCTATTCCGTAAACGGTAACATGCTGGATCAGCAAATTAAAATTTTTATACTAACTTACTATTATCTCAAAAATAAATTTATAGTTGGTACTCATAAAGAATCAATTATTAATATTCATTTCAATTACTCTCTTTCCACATTCAGATTGCTGAGGTAGTTGTTGTTTAAAAAAGAAGACTTAATCATATTGCTATTATTTTCAATTTGTGGTCCTCCTGCCCCTTCCCAAGATCTTTATGTGCCAAACCTTGGGCCATTCCAGTCATTCTTCATTCTGTCAGTTTAATTAATTTGAAGGCAACATGGGTATTATTATAGAAAATAAACAACAATCCATGGACAACGTTAAAATGTTGTAAGAATAGTATTTAAATAATTAGCAATTTGTTATTCTACAGGCTAAACATACTAAGTATATTTATATTTCAATTGTTACAATCATCTTAAAAAACAAAATATCTTGAAATAGCTGTGTCAAGAGGTATTAATTATCAGATGTAGGAATTACAAGATAAAATGTGAAATTAACAAGGACAAAGCAATTTTTTAATTGTCCTTTGAATTAGAAATTAAGTCTTTAGAGTGTTTAATTATCATCTACCACCATCATTGTTATGTAGTCCTTATAATGAATTGAATTTGATTCTGAGTCAATTGCAGCAGACAGCATTTCTTCCATTTCTTCTTGAGAAAAAGGCTCACCTGAGAAGGACAAGAAAGAAAATGCATCATTTATGATCTTGTGATTTGTTTCTTCCTCTTTCCGTTTCCACTAGCAAGCTTAATTGCCATGGAGCCCCACAAGCCCCCACTGTGTCACTAGTTTCTCTCCCCATGGGCTTCTGAGCCAGCACATCATGACAATCCAGGAGTTCAAAGAGCATGCTGTTTTGGACTTATCTTACCTTGCAGATATCATAGATTGAGCAACCCATAGAATTGATCATTTCACCCAAAACAGCAGGAAGTCATAAAGGCATAGTGAATAAAGTTGTTTATTTATTTAAATAAAACTATGGAGATTGCCAAAAGATTAACGTGAAGGCTCAGTCTGATAGGGAATCTAATAATTATGTTTAGCAAAGGTATGAAGAAAGGATTATATGGTTGCTATGCAAAATTTTAGCAGTGCAGCAACCCCATTAATGGTGAATGTGATCCCCATAAAGACCTTGTGCAAGCATCCCTAGTGGCACAGTGGTTGAGCACTCAGCTGCTAACCAAAAGGTTGGTGGTTTGAACCCACCAGCCTCTCTGAGGGAGAAAAGACCTGGCGATCTGCTCCAGTAAAGATTACAGCCTAGGTAACCCTATGGGGCAGTTCTACTCTGTCCTGTAGGGTCACTATGAATCAGAATCCACTTGTTGACACAACAACAACAACACGAAGAATTGCTGAAGGGCAGATAACAGAGACTTGAAACTGTAACAATTATCTCTCTGAATATTCCTTAATCAGGTCTTGTCAACTGAGTCATGCCAGCGGAACCCAGGGAGAGATGGCACTCATCAACTGTTTCAAGACAGTCCTCTTATAGTTTGGCCCAGTGCTGGTGTTAAATGAAACCAAAAGTTGGGTAGAAAATCTGTGGGCTTTAGTTGGATTCAGATAATAGCTGAGGACCATCTGGATATTGTTTTCACCAAAATGAGACACAAACTCAGGAAGAATTCTGGGAAGGCTGCAGACTATTTAAGACAGCTCTTTGTCCTGACATTGAAAATACAGGAACATTCGAATCACTACCTTACCCCTAAAGAGTCTTATCTGTGTAGGTGAGCTACCAAGGCCTGAGGCTTACCTACATTCTGAGCCCAAGTCACCTGACACTAAAAGCAATGCTTTCTAAGTTGGAATTCAGGTGCTGTTGTTAGTGGCCGTCAAGTTGATTCTGACTTATGGCAACCCCATGTGTGTTGAGTAGAACTGTTCCATAGGGTTTTCAAGGCTGTGACCCTTCAGAAGCAGATCACTAGGACTGTCTTCCGAGGCACTTCTGGGTGGGTTAGAATCGCCAGCATTTCCGCTATCGTAGTTGAGTGCTTAACTGTTTTTGCCACCCAGGGACTCCAGAATTCAGTTAATAATACTGAAATTATCCAAATGAACATTTTGATGATCATGATGATAGTACTATTAAGCAAGAGGAAGTTTGAAATCATGCTTATAGCCTAAGAAAATAAAAAAATGCCCAAAAGATAAATTTTGAATCTTTGTTACACCTGATTATTAAATACTGAATCCACTGCCAAATGGACTTTGATAGGTACTACCTAAGTCCTGAGGAACTTAAAAGAATACTAACAACAAACGTTTACTCAGTACTACTGTGTGCCAGACTCTGATCTAAGTGCTTCACATATATTAACTAAGTTAATCTCCCAACCACCTCATGAGAGGTAAGAGCTGTTTTTATCCCCATTTACAGTTGAGGACACCAGAGCACAAAGGAATAGGCAGCCATCCCCAGTTAGTGAGTGGTAGAACTGGAATCTGACCACCACACTGTATAACTTAGAACAAGGCGTTGGTCCCAGTAGAACACAGAAGGCAGTCACACTGTTCTTTAGGGCAAGGAAACAGGTACACAGTATTGGATCAAAGATGGGAGGAAAACAGCTTAAATGGCTAAAAGCACAGGCTTGGGAGCCAGACTGCTCAAACGCCTATGGGTTCACATGCTGCCTGTGCCTTACTAGCTTGAAGATCTTGGGAAAGTCACTTAACCTCTCCGTGCCTCAGTTTTTCTGTCTGTAAAACTGGAGATGATAATAACACTACCTATCTCACAGGGTTGCTATGAAGATTAAATGTGTTGTTATTTGAAAAGCACTTAGAACAGTAGCTGGTGCATAGGATGCAACATGTGTAAAAACTTTTTTTTTACATTTTCCCTGCTGTAGATACTGCCCGACACAATATGCATGCCTGGACACATGGGGACTTCTATCCTGTGTTCTTTCTCTTAGGAACTTGATTGCATGTGATTTATGATGTTCATCATTATGACATTCTGGGCATTTAGAGTATACATTCTCAAACTAATGAGCGTGTTCGATTCTCTGTGGACATTATGCAAGTAACTTTAATCCCTATTGCTTTAAAGCATACCAGAAACCAAACCCGTTTCCATTAAGTTGAATCCAACTCATAGTGACCCTACAGGACAGAGTAGAACTGCCCCATGGGGTTTCCAAGGAGTGGCTTGTGGATTCGAACTGCTGACCTTTTGGTTAGCAGACGAACTCTTAACCACTGCGCCACCAGGGCTCCTTTAAAGCATAGATGTACTTAAAAACAATTTATAGAATTTTGAAAATCTCGAAGTACCAATTGTTAAGCAACTATTTTACCTGGCTAATAAACTGCTATCACAGTTGGCTGATGCGTCTGTTACGTACAATGACATTAAGTTAGATTTGTACAGTACTTTATATCTGATAAATCACTATCAAACATATTAGCTCATATAATGTAGAAGTTATTTAATATTTGTTGAATAAATCACTGAAACCACATATATTCTAAAAATATTATCTGAAAATAATCATTCTATGCTTAGTCCACTGAGATACCCAATAACTGACCTTTAAGCACCACCAGGAATACCTGGATGGCACAAATGGTTAAGTGCTGGGCTATTAACTGAAAGGCTGGCAATTCAAACTCACCCAGAGGAGCCTCAGAAGAAAGGCCTGGTGATCTGCTTCCCAAAGGTCACAGCCTTGAAAACCCTATAGAGCACAGTTCTAAACTGCAACACATGGGGTGTCCATGAGTTGGAATCAACTTGACAGCAACTGGTTTAAGGTCTCGGGATGACAGAAACGGTTTGAGTTCATCTACTAACCTAAAGGTTGGTAGTTCAAACCCACTCAGGAGCTTCAGAAGAAAAGTCTGGCGATCTACTTCAGCAAAGATCACAGCCAAGAAAACCCTATGGAGCAGTTCTACTCATGGGGTTGCCATGAGTCAGAATCGACTTGATGGCAACTAGTTTTTTTTCTTTTTTAACTGTCTCTAAATATACCACAGCACTTCCAAGTAAACCACACAATTGATTGTCTCTATATACATTTCAGTCCATTCCTGATTTCCCTATCAGCACCATTTGACCCATCATTGAGGTCAAAGCCTGGTTGTTACTTTTCACTCAGCTTCCATCTTTGTCCCCTATACTACATTACTCACCATGACCTGTGGATCCTGCTATAAATACAGTCCTATTCTATCAATCCCTTCTTTCCATTCCCATTGCCATGACCCAGGTCAGCTCTTTATTAGAGTACCATCAGAACGCCGAAATAGCCTTCTAACTGGTCTCCCTTGTCTGATTTCTTTCTCACTCATTTAACCGTTCTACAATTCTTTCTGCACCATGTGAGTCATTCACTTAAAGCACAGAAATGTTTTTCTATTGCCCATAGGACGGATTCCCAACTCCTGGGCCTACGCCTCCACGATCTATTCCCAGTAAATCTATCTAAATTCATTTCCTACTGTTTACCAACAAGACTCTCTGAGCCAGCCAGGCCTATCTTCTCACAGACTCCTGAAATACCATGCTCATTCCTATCTTCTTGTTTGTGTTTATACTGTTTTATTCATCTATAATGTTTCCCTCACCCATTCTTCATTCATCTATTCATTCATTCATTCAACAAACATTTGATAAGACTGAATATGTGTGCAGTGTTGTATTAAGTGCTAGAGATACCATAATGTATAAGATATTCCCCCTGCCCTCAACAACTCACCCAAATAAATCTTACCAAGTTTTTCAGACTGGTCCAGCCCACATCAGTCTTCCAATACTTATTTTTCTATTGTAGTGTGAATTATTTTAAAATTAGTTTTATTTCCCCAATAAGATTGGAATATCCTTAAGATAGGGAGCAGATTTTAGTGTCATTACTTCTCACTGCACTTATTAAATACTAAACACACAGTAGGCACACAATACTAATGAAATTGAACTGTCTTGGCCATTTTGGTTAAATTCATATTGCCTAATATAAGCTAGGATTTACTTTCCTTAAATTAAATCCTTAGGATTAAGAGGCTGATGCTTTGAAAGTCGTAACATTCCCATCAAAGTTAATCCCTAGGATAATTTTAATAATGTCATAAGAGTTCTTGGATGGCAGCTATGATTGTCATGTCATTCTTTGCTTACTCTCATTCCCTGTATTCCCACCTGATGGTGGATCAAGTCAAAATGGTCAAACCAGTTGCACATGTAGACACAGTAATTTCCTACCAATAATTACTTGCACTTTTTAAAAAATAATATTTTATTGTGTTTTAGGTAAAAGTTTACACGGCAAATTAGGTTCTTCTTTAACAATTTTTATACAAATTGTTCCATGTTATTGGTTACAATTTTTACAACGTGTCAGTATTCTCATTATTTCCATTTTGTTTGTTCTGTTTCCATTGATCTAGCTTCCCTTCCTTGCTTTCGCATCTTCGCTTTTGGCTAAATTTGACTGTTTGGTCTCATATAGCTGATTGTTGAAGGCAGCACATTACTCACAGGTGATATTGTTTATTTTATAAGCCAATCCATTATTTGGCTGAAAGGTGACCTGCAGAGATAGCTTCAATTCCAAGTTCAAAAGGTATCATAGGGCGATAGTCTTGGGGGTTCCTCTAGACACTATTGGTGCAGTAGGTCTGGACTTCTTTAGGAATTTGAGTTTTGCTCTACATTTTCTCCTATTCTATTGTGTTCCTGGTCAAAATGGTTGGTAGTGGTAGCCAGGTACCATCTAGTTCTTCTGGTCTCAGGTTAGAACAGGCTGTGGTTTGTGTGAGCTCTTAGTCCAATGGACTAGTTTCTTCTTTGAGGCTTTGATTTGCTTCATTCTCTTTTGCTCCATATAAGCAGAGACCAATAGTTGTATCTTAGATGGCCACTCATAAGCTTTTAAGATCCTGACACTACTCACCAAACTCAGATGTAGAACATTATCTTTGTGAACTATATTATGCCAATTGACTAAGTTGTCCCAGAAGACTAACTACTTGCAATTTTGATACTGATTCAAATGATTAGGGACGCTGACTCATTCAAGACTCAATCTGTGAACGAGTGAACTGAGCAAAGGAGACAGAACTCTTAACTATGCATGGAAAGAGGGGAGGAGACCAATGTAAGAATGGTATTGAGAGAATGTCCATCAGGCTATTGACATTCACGGAAAACAAATTTACATATATGCCTAACAAGAGATAATTCCTAAAGGTAACATGCTGGCACATATAGATGTGTAGGTATTAGTCATAAATGTGTATGCATGTGTGTGTATAGATCATGTTCAAAGTAAATATATATGGTACCATTTGCATAGAACACCGAAAATTTTTTGTGTGAATTCATATTCAAGTGAGGCTATATTATCTGTAACTTCACCAACTGAAAAGCTCTTTTAAAAGGAATTATTATATACTCCAAATCTTTAATCTGGTAACTGGCATTGATTTATAGTGATTGATAGCTCATGTTTTCCAGGTGGCATATGTCTTATTCTGGAAATACTCTAAGTCAGTGGAAGGACTGCAATTTACAGAAGCAATCGTTACACTTTACAAAGTCCTATGAGGCAAGAATCCATTTCTCTTTGCCCTACCCTTTGTCCTCTCACCCCCATAAAAGAGAAACCACCCCAAAAACCAAAATAGGAGGAATAGTAAATAAATCTTTTTAACCATAAGGATTGATTTTAAAGTATTCCTTTATCTAACATATAGTTTTTGCTGTACATAATTATTGTTAAACTTAGTAATCCCTTATATAAGTCACTGATACAAGCTGAGTAAAAAATCACTCTTACCTTCTTCAGTCATATACTTGATCAGTTCTTCCTTAGTGAGAAACCCACGTTTAGTTGGATCTAATACCTAGGGGAGAAAAAGAGATAAATATGGTAATTTTTGTTTAATGAGTAAATTATATATTATCAATTTTTCATATAAATATACATTAATACATAAAATCTGGGGTTTACACACCTCAAATGCACGAAGAAGGACATCTTCTGGAATTGGCCTGTATCTATAATTACACAATAAAAGAAATGTGTCATAGTATTTATCTTCAGTCTCTTCATAATAAATGACTACATAAAGCAAAATAAAAGCTGTTAACATACTGGCTTAATTAAACTTCCCTCACTGAAATCTTTTTGGATTTCTGGATAGGGAAGTTGAAGGAACCCCAATCCCACAGGAAATACTTAGTTCAAAATCACTGGCATATCTCACGTTATCTATTAGCTTTTTTCATCATTATGGAAATCATTTTACCTGAGAACAAAACTTCTTCTATAAAACAATTATGACAAGCTAATGCTACTTTTGCCAGAAAATAATTAGGATCAATTCTTATTTATCACTGGTAATTCAAAATAGGAGATAACAAAAATGTTGATTTATGAGTTTTACAGCTTATTTGCCCTGTAATTATGCTTTGCTTAGATTAATTCTAAAGTGGTTGATATTTCTAAGCACACACATAACAATTGGAAGTTCAGAAGTATAGTGAAAGGTTAGAAGGAAGCTACCTTATGATAAATATTGGTTGAATACATAAAATGAAAACGCCACGTTTTGAAATTTACATAATTCTAATCATTATTTTGCCTTAACAATTGCATTTACTTACTTACCTTCTTTCTAGTAATACTTCGGTCATCACTGGAAGAAATTTTTCTAATCGAATGTATCCAGTGGGTTCTTCTTCTTCTACCTAAACAATCAACAAAGAAATAGTCATTCCTCTATTCAACAAATATATCGAGAAACTATGTTTTCCCAGCACTGAGCCAAACACTGGGGATTTGATGATGAGCACACTTGGTCATGATCGCTGCACACAGCGTTTATATTCTGGTAGGGAAGGCATATATTACTCCTAAAAATAATAACTAAGTATCTAGTTATAAATTTATATAAGCACAATGAAGTAAAGGAACACAGGTCCATAAGGGCATATAACAAAGAAAACTTTTCTAGACCAGGAGATCAGGGAAAGCATTCCTGGGGAAATAACACTTGAGCTGATTTATAAAGGATCAGTAGAAGGTAACTAGGCAGGCAGTATGAGGAGACTCCAAAGTAGAGAATTACATGTGTGGCAGGAGGAAGCAGATGCTTTGGAGGCCATGAAGCTAGAGCACACAAAGCAGGGAGGAGGTTGTTTCAAGAGGAGACTGAGAGAGGCACAGAGCCTTTTGCTGGGCCTCACTGTTCATAAAAGAGATTTTGGTTGTTATCCTAAAAACAATGAGAAAGGTGAAGGTCTCAATGGATGTGTGTTCTGAAAGATCATACTGGTTGTGGGTGGGGAGGCAATAGTCTAACCAGTTATAATGATGGCTAGGATTTGGGAGGTGGCCATGGAGAAAGAAGTGGATGGCTTCAAGAAATATTTGAGAAGTAAAAGCAACAGACCTGGTGATGCATCCATTGTGGATAGGGATGAGGAGAAGTGTGAAGTCAAGGACAAGTTACACAACTGGATGGAGTAGTGCCTTTTCCGGAGGATAAGTAAGGAACACTGGATGAGGGACCAGGCTGGGGAACCAATCATTATCTTAAGGACCAAAGTACAACTCAAATCACTTTAGCACTTATTAAATACCTAGATGGCATATGGAACTTGGCTATACCACCATTAAATTAAGAGAACTACGGCTGAGAAAGGGAATTTTTGGTATCATGCAATAGAAACAGATCTCTGCCCATTGGCTCAACTTTGATGGAGTGACTGAAGAAAACACTATTGATCTTAACTTTCATGTCAGGCTATTTATGAAGTGCTGTCAATTTTCCACTCCCTTTCAAAAATCCTATTAAAAGGCTCATAGATCCCAATTCAACAGATGAGCTTTTAACTGATTTATTTTTTGAGCAAAAAATAAGAAATATATATGTTGCTGCTAAATGGAACATACCGTCATCCAAATGACAACTATTTTTTAATATGTTTATACTACATTCACACCATTAAAATCCTGGAGCCCTCAGACTCCAGGATGACAGAATGATGTGTTTTAGAATTTCTAAGCCCATCAGTACATGAAAAATTGTTTTCAGTTGCCTCTTGATCCAAGCTGAGCATTTTGCAAATTAATGTTCATATGGCTCTGATGCGCTTGAGTAGCACTCTGTAACTCTCAACCCTCAGGAGCCTCTGAAAAATAAAATGTCAATCTCATGAGATTACTTAAGGAACAATAATCTTAAAATTAAAATGTTGAGTTTATATTCTGATTGCCCCAGAAATTTGCTCTAGAAGCCGGAGCAATGGTTTGCTTGCCTGTTTCCCCACCCTCAACAAATAGTCTCAACCTTTAAAAGATCAAAACTCCTCTTTATTTTATGAGCATCTTCATTAATCTACAAGCTGTTTTCAGTTTTTCCAAATGAAGTTTAACTCTATGATTCTCTCTCCATCATGTCAGAGCTCACAAATGACACACCATGCAGTGCCTCACGGCGCTCCCCTGGGCTCCCTCACACCTCTCACAAGGTGTGAACACTGTACTACTGAAAACTCTGCAGCATCATTCTTGCCCAATAGATTTTTGTAAAGCCAAAAATTAAAAGTTAAAACAGACTATCTCCAACTCATCAGGACAGCAGAAGCACCATACATTTTCTTTGACTTCTTCTTCTTTTTTTTTTTTAAAGAGGGATAATGAATAAACAGAGGCCTTATGGTTAAAAGTAAGAAGAAAAATGGTAAGCCTATCTGCAACTTGGGCAGAAATTGTCAAATTTTTCTGTGACCCAACACTGTCCTCTAGAGGCCACATCTAATCCATTCTTTCTTACAAAAAAATTCATAAGCAATGGCATAAAAACAATATAATTGTAGGACAATTCTAAATACAGCATTTATGGGAGGCTTAATATGGACGAGACACGATTTTATATTATAAAAATGGATTTGAATATTTAAATGAACTTTTTACTTTGGAATAATTTTAGGTGCAAATATGGTACAGAGAGTTGCTGTATACCCTTCACTCAGTTCCCTATTGTTAACTCTTAGATTACTATGGTACATTTGTTTCTATGAATGAACCAATATTGACACATTATTAACTAAACTCCATACTTCATTCATATTTCATTTGTTTTTCTAAAAGGTATTTTTAAAATATGGTATATTTCTCCATCATAGAAGAGAAACAAGAAGCATAGGGCAGAAAATCATTTCTGGGAATCCAAAAAAGGGGGAGGGTGGCTCTATCATTTCTGGTGCAGGATAAGCTAGTTAACTTTATGAAGCCATCAGTAACATAGCACAAGAACACCACTTTCTAGAAATGTTATAAAATGATGACTCAATGATTATTTAAATCCATAGATTAAAAATATACCAAATATTGAACCATACTCTATAGTATCTATTGTATGTATATACAGTATATATGTGTATATAGATATATATACACATAAAACATATTAATATTCTAAATGTGTATGGTATATTTTTATCCAAAGACTGAATCACTGTAACCAGGATGAAGTCGTTACAACTTATCAGTTGAAGATTAGCAAAGCAGATATTCAAAATTCAGAGCTGTATTCTACAGAACTGGTATAGACAAAATGGTGCAGTCTAGACCAATTTTCTTCAAGGGAAAACTCAACTAACCAACTTACGATGAAATGAACTCAAGAAAGATTCCCTAAATTACAGCAGACATGTTTGAAAAGACTAGGAATTCACTGCCATGTCTTCACTAATGGCAAAGTCATAATGGAAAAATCCCCTTGACTTCTGTATTGATTAGAGTCTTTAAAAAATGGAAATTGCCTTCCTCATAGAAACATCTCACAGTATAGTCACTATATCAGACACCAAATCCAACCAAACCCGTTGCTGTTGAGTCGATTCCAAATCATAGCGACCCTATAGGACAGGGTAGAACTGCCCCATAGAGTTTCCAAGGAGCAGCTGGTGGACTCGAACTGCTGACCTTTTGGTTAGCAGCTGTAGCTCTTCACCACTGTGCTACCAGGGCTCTGTATTAGACCAAGGATAGTTAAAAATATTCTTATTAAAATTCATCCCCTAACCTCAGTGTCCTCACTTGTAATAGAGGGAAAACAGTAATATTTACCTTACAGGGTTGTGAAGATTATGAGATATGACATGCAGGTGCTTTGTGAACTACAAGAGTCTATTATGGTTATTATTATTATCTCTATCAGTAATGTACACACTTCCAGTTCTATGACATGGAATGACAGCTCCTCCTAAAAGAATCAATCTCTGCTGCTGAAGTTTCAGGCATGTCCTCATTGACCTACCTCATCCCACCACATGGATCTAATAATTGTTTATAGAGAAGTTTGGCCCTGCCTCCCCACCTGTAAAATGCCGAATGGAATGTGGTGATTGAATAAGATAATGTATTAAATTGGCTGGCGGATGTGATACCTGTCCTTCTCCCCGGATCCCTGCCTAGAGGAGAGGGTATGTGATTAGCAGTCATGCCTTCACCTCTGCTGTTCCCGGCAAGCCTCTCTGGGTGGAAAGGAGGAGAGTGACAAACATCCCTTCTCTTCAAAAGACAAAAACAAACAAAACAAATATATCCTGGTATAGCAAACATGAATGAGGCAATAAAGTTACAATCTAGTTTGTGTCTTCTAAGAGGAGGGCTAATGTGCTAGAAAGGAGATGATAATTCAAAAGTAACGAAGGCAGTGTTTATAAATGTAAAGGTAACAAAACCATTCTGGGGACAGATTCCTCAGCTTAGCCCTCAAGTACCATTTATACTGAATTCATCTTAATAGTGTGCCAGCACAAGTTCGCCGAGAAGACCAAGGCCCTGATATGCCTTTCTTTTTCTCCTTCGAAGAATTATGGTTATTAATGTGACCTGGTGGCACAGTGGTTAAGTGCTTGGCTGCTAACTGAAAGGTCGGTGGTTCAAACCCACCAGCCACTCCACGGAAGAAAGATGTAGCAGTCAGCTTCCGTAAAAATTCTAGCCTTGGAAATCCTATGGGGCAGTTCTCCTCTGTCTTATTGGGGGGCTATGAGTCAGAATCGACTCCACGGCAATAGGTTGGCTTTTTTTTAATGTGACCTGAAGAAAACATACTGCTTTCATTACCAAAGAGGCCCGGCCTACGCTAGCTACCACAGTGCCTTCAGGCATTCCACAGACTCTTTGACTTACCTTGCCCAATATGGAGAATTCTCACTAAATACGTAAATACTGTGGGATTTTTTGAAAACATCACATTTATTTATGGCTCCAAGTATGAGGCTAATACTGTTTCTCATTTTATCTTGGCATAAGTCAATTCTCTTCATCTATTTTACATGTGAGGAAATATGGGCACAGAGAGGTTAAGTGCTGATTTTAGCTTCTCAAAGTCAGGTGTTTTGATGGGATCACAGCCCAGAGTTCTTTACTTTAATTCCTATAGAAAATCGTTAGGCCACCCCTTTTCTCATTACAGCATTATTTATTTTAATGCTGAGCCCACTGAATAGGCACAATAAAACACAGTGAAAAATCATTTCTCACCAGTGACATGGCAATCAGTCAATAAATTGAATTATTTCATGCTTCACAAATAACAAGATCATGTCAGTAGTTAGGATGGTTTATAAAGTGCCTACATTTCAACTAGTTCCAGGTCACCAAATGAGATATACATAAAAAGCTTTTTTTTAACTATTTGTAGCAAAAATTATAAAAGCCATGAGATATT